AGGTATAGCTGTTTGCTGACTTTGTAGTTACAGTTACTCAAACTGGTACAATGATACGACGCTGCTTATCATATTTATTTAGTCTGACCAGTCCATATGGTTCAGAGTTATGATTGAATCCACAGTAAGCTAAAGGTTCTTATTTCATCTTTGATTCCGGAGAAAATTTACTGTAGAGGCAGTATCATTGTTCTCTTGTGTTCTTCTTTCAGTTGATTTCTTCTGCCTTTTACAGTAGACGTCTTTATTGTCAGATTGCAGCTGTAACTTTGGAAAATATACGGATTTTTCCATAATTGCTGCTCTGTTCCTTTAGTTACACTTGGAACAATTAAACTTTTCCGTTTCAACTTTCTTTTTAATTTAGTTAGTGCGCAAAAGTACGTATGTGCTGAATCTAATTGACTCTGTTTCATGTTATTTCAGAGAATCAGGTTCAAATTTGCCATAATTTTGAACTTGAGTAGCTTACTGTACGCCGAAAAGGCTTTTTTATAGTCAAGTGACGAAATCAGTAAGGGAATCGGTCTATAATGATCGATTTAAAGCACACTTTGGACCCCAGGGCTAATAAATTACGTTCCAGTTCTTTAAACTAGACTGACCTCAAATTCATAAACAAGCTGGTTTCTAAAAGCTGTCTGGACAAAACTGCTTCCTCAGTAATTTATAAATAATTGTTTTCGCTTGTAAACCATTTACCTTCTTTCTCTGTTTTGTTCTGACTACATTACTCATCTACTCATAGTTTTTTCTGATATTTCCTATGAGAAGGCCAAGGTCTCCAACTGTGTTATTACCTTGAATAGCATTAGAACACCCTGTATCTTAAAATTTCGATTATTTCCGGGTCTTATTTAAGTTGGAAAATGAATTTTTAACCATCTTCCACCAACAAACGTTGAGCACAAACGTTCCTGGCACCTAAACTTATTTTCCGCTGTTTCAGTTGAGTGATATAATCCTGAAGATGACACTTATGTGCGTCTTTGAAATTTAATCATCCTTAAATTGTTGCCTTAAACCATGGGTCGAAATCGAAGAAAATAAATTATTTACTGAAACGGATCATCCAATACAAAACCCTGAATTATGGATCAAATGCGGATTTGCCTCTTCAGGTTCCATCAATAGCGGCATGAAACAAAATTAAAGAGATCTTATTTGAGGGAAATTCGACGTTGTTACCAAATCGGCATCGGTCGTTCATGAGGGAATCTAAGTGAATACG